CCCATCTTGAGGAGTTTGCCCCCTCACATATACTAATGTGCCACAAACAGGACTTTAATATCACCAACCATCCCCATGTTATTACGGTGTATCCATATAAATGGCCCACCCTGTAGATTTCAACATGTCCAGTGTCCATCATGTTATCAAAGTGTCAAGCTGGTCCAGGTCATCATAATTGTGTTAAAACTTAGCGGCGAAGAAGAGAAGAAAATCTGAAGGGTCAACACCAAATGCAAAACATGACGGGCCTGGATACCTTTAACAAAAACAGACAGCCATTGGCTGTGGGCTCCAGAAAGAGAGAGAATGATGGAGCAGTCCCCAGGTAGCATGATAGAATGAAGGTAAATTTTTACATAGCTTAATTAAGTATGCTACAATAACTGTACAAATAAATATGCTCATTCCAAAGGTTTGACTGATTATGATGAGATGATGTGTTATGACACACATGTACACTGAGCTATACAAAATGTAATTTAAAAAGCAAAAAAGAACTTTATAAAATGACAAAACAAGCTATTGTTTCTGTGTGAACTGCACATAGAAAGGCCCAGCCAGCAGGCAAGTCCCTTGTGAGGCAACCATGCTGTCGGTCCTTTGGTCTCAGGATCCATTTATTACGTTTTACATTTTATTTTTCCATTTTTCATTCTCCTGCTGGTATATTACTAGCACTCCAGCTATAATGGCCTGTTACGGTCACCAGTAGGTTTAACTTTTAAGAATTGGGAGGTGTTTATTGGCAAAACGTCTATAGACTGCAGATTTCAGTCAACTGATATCTGTTTGTACCCCAGCAAATCAGCTGCATAATTCTAGCCAGGATTATGCAGTTATGCAGTTATGCTATATGACATATAATTTTTTTTGTCAACCAAGAGAGATTGAAAACAATTTAGATGTAGACTGTTTGGCTGCCCAGTGTATATCTGCTGTTATTTGGAGTAAATTGGGATCTGCCCTGGAGTTTTCACCCTATCTGTGGAAGGCTGTCACGCCACCGTTTACCTCAGCTGTCAATGCTGTGTGAGAACTGCC